TTTGGAAAAATGAGAAATTAGTGCATACTAACATTAAGAGGTAATATGTTTTCAGTAAAAATAAAAATATTTGAAGTTTAAATTATATAACATGTAGGTGGATATGAGTTAAAGGATGAGAAATGATTATTTTTTATTGTATAACCTAAAATAAAAAATTATTAATTTAAACAAATCTCAAATATAAGAAAGAGTATAAAAGTTAACAAAAGAAGTAATGTAACTCTAAAATAAAGAGAAAATCTGTCTGAATTAATGTTTGTCTTGATTGATTTCTCTCTCTTTCTTTTTTTTTCTTTCTTAAAAATATTTAATATAAGTAAAGTTAACCATTTTTTAAAATTATATTCTTGGAGTACATGTTAAGAGTATATCTTTTATATTTTTTACAATTAATGTATGAAAAAATATGGTGTTAATTTTGATTTAATTAATTTCAACACCACAAAAATGAAGGGATAGGATAGTATGAAAATGAAAAATTATCAATTTATAACGATTTTAAATATAATAAATTGTACAATATCTTTGACATTATGTAATTAACTCTCTCTTTTCTTCTTCTTCTTCTTCTTTTTTTGTTTTTGTTTGAAGGATTGCATGTGATATTGTATAACTACACTTATTTAATTTAATGATGCTTAATATTACTAAGGCTATTAAAATCAAGTTAAGTATTTTGATATTTGTACTCGATCTCATTTTAAAAACTCAAGCTTAAGTATTTATTAAACTTAATATATTTGAACTCGTATTCAAGCTCGTAAATATATAATTGAATTTAAGCTATTGTGATCAAGTTTGGGAGAATTCTAATAGGTTCAAGCTTCCTTGTGGGTTCAAGTAAATGAGTATTTTAACTTGAATTTGATTTTTTTTTCTATAATTTCAAGTTATTTCAATAACTAATTATTTAACCATAATTTTTTTTACAATTTAAAAAATATTATAGTACCAAAAGTTTAAATAAAAGCATTATGTTAAGTTTATTGTAAAAACAAATCATAAACTTTATTGAAATATTTTTATTAATAGTTTTAAAAAAACTTAAAATATGTAACTTATTTAAATTATCTTTTTAACCTTATTAAATTTATAAGTTATTATATATTTAAATTTAATAAATAAATAAAATATAATTTTTAATTCTAAACTAAGTACTTATAAACAACTCATAAAACCATTACTTATTTTCCAAAAAAGAAATTCACAAACAATCATATAAACTCAAATTTAAAGAATACTTTTTTTAATAAAACTCAATATTAAAATTGAACTATACTTATTTATCAAATAAAATAAATACAAATCGTATTTAATTCCACGAACTTACGACTTAATCACCAACTACTTCATTGCTACCAATCTACATACTTTCGTCGTGTACTTACAAGACTCATAATTTCTTCATCTCACGCCGAACTTTATTTTTTCTTTTTTTTTTTAGTATTAACTTTTTATACTGACAACTATATTAAATTTTAATTAATATAAAATTAAATCGTATCAAATCATTAAAAAAAAACTTCTATCGAGCGCATTCACTTTCTTTCACAAAACTTAAAATCAAAATCTTATTCTTATTCAAAGTAAACCAACTCTTTTTTTTCGGTTATCTGCTTGGTATCCGGGATTAATTTGGATCCGACTTAGGTCATACATCTGAAAATGGTGGGTAAGCCTCTCAACGAAAACTACTACATACACAAAAACTCAAATTCAAAACCTTATTTAAGCTGAAACAACCTGTTTATTACTTGATCTAACCTTCGTTATTAAGTAAACCAACTCTTTGTAACGCGCTGAACTTCATTTGGATATATCTTGTACGCGAACTATTATGCCACGCGTCGAGGTCAAAATTCTTAAGAAGTGGGGCCACCAAGTCATAGCTTTGAAGGGTTCTGATCTTTCGGCAGCAAAGATCACGCGCAAAATGATGCGCCGTGGCCCACAAAGCCGCAAAGAAATACAACACGGCATATGGTCGAAACGCGCGATGCGTGAGTCCCATCCGGTTGGTCCGGCCGTGGCGATTGCGATGAAGCTGGAATACAACACGCTGCAGTCTGCAACGCACCACCACCCCCTACATAATTGACGGGGCCAAATTCATGCACCTAGTCTCGACCCCTTATTATATCTTCCTTGCCCAAAACCAATTCCTCTCGTACACACAACCGCCGCTTTTCCGTGCCGATTGTTTTCCGCTCGACGCAATGGGTCAGTCCCCTTCCATGTACGTAGACAGGGATTACTTTGCCGGTGATCGATTCAGCTATTTGTCCTCACCTGAAATGGTTTTCAGTGATTCCGTGGAATCGGACGAGGAATTTGCCTCAAATTTCGATTATACCGGCGAGATTCCCGATGAGTGCTTGGCGTACATTTTTCAATTCCTTGGTGCCGGCGACCGCAAGCGGTGCTCGCTGGTGTGCAAGCGCTGGCTGCGTGTGGACGGCCAGAACCGCTACCGCCTATCGCTCGACGCGCGATCGGAGATCGTTGATTCGTTGCCTTCTATCTTCACGCGCTTCGATTCCGTCAACAAACTCGCGCTTCGGTGCGACCGAAAATCAATTAGCTTAAGCGACGAGGCGTTGGTGCTGATCTCAACTCGTTGCCCAAACCTCAGCCGCCTCAAGCTCCGCGGATGCCGCGGAATCACCGATTACGGGATGGCTGGATTCGCTAAAAACTGCAAAAATCTGAGGAAGCTGTCTTGTGGTTCATGTATGTTTGGCGCCAAGGCATTGGACGCCGTTCTCAACTATTGTACCAATCTGGAGGAGCTCTGTGTGAAGCGGCTCAGAGGATTCGAAGATGGAGCAGAGGCAATCGGGCCAGGAGCCGCAGCTTCATGTTTGCAATCAATTTCCTTGAAGGACCTCATGAATGGTCAGTCATTTGAATCACTTATAGTTGGATCAAAGAATCTTAAGAGTTTGAAAATCATTCGTTGTTTGGGTGATTGGGATAGAGTACTTGAAATGATTGGGAAACAAAATGGAAATAATAATTCTTTGATGGAAATTCACCTTGAGAGACTTCAAGCGAGTGATTTAGGACTTGCAGCTATATCAAAATGCCCTAATATTGAGAATTTGCATATTGTGAAAACGCCGTATTGTTCAAATTTTGGGATTGTTTCTGTGGCGGAACATTGTACGCTTTTGAAGAAGCTTCACATTGATGGGTGGAAGATGAATCGGATTGGAGATGCGAGTTTGATTGCTATAGCCAAACATTGTTCTGATTTGCAAGAACTTGTTTTGATTGGTGTTAGTGCTACATATTTGGGTCTAGGAGCAATAGCCAGCAATTGTTTGAAATTGGAGAGGTTAGCTCTTTGTGGGAGTGTAACTATTGGTGATGCAGAGCTTGCATGTGTTGCTGCCAAATGTGTGTCCATGAAGAAGCTTTGCATCAAGGGATGCAACATCTCAGATATCGGCATTCAAGCACTTGCTGAGGGTTGTCCCAATTTGGTCAAGATTAAGGTGAAGAAATGTAAAGGAGTGAGTGGTGAAATTGGAGAGTGGCTGCGTGAACAAAGGGAGTCAGTGATTGTAAACATGGACGCTTATGACATTGATGGTGGTTTTGAAGCTAGTGGCAGCGATGGTGGAGTTCATGAAGGTGGAGTCAGGTTTCCACCAATGATTAATCAAGCACATGGTGCAGATGCTTCAACTAGCAATAATGGTATATTTCCATTTTTTAGGACAAAAGTTGCATTTCTTGCAGGTAGGAATCTAGTGGCAAGCACATTCAGAAGGTGGTCAAATGGTGAAAATAGTTCTAATCCCAAATTGTGAATGATCATAAGGGTTGAAAAGATTACTCTTGCTCTCATCACATAACCTCTTGCTTTTATAGGATGAATATTTTGATATTTTCTGTCTTCATTTCCTGTTTTGATTATTCATTATTTTGCAATGTACTTGGAACCTTGGAGATCTTGAAAGCAGCACACTGCAAAAGAAATGGTTGAAGATTTGTTATTGTTGGTTGAACTAGATGAGTTTGTGCCCATTCCTTTTTGTTCCTCATCACCAGGATACTTGACATTGCCATTTGTGGGTTATTTTGATCCTTTGCTCCTGCTCCTTTGTCACAGTCACCGCATGATAAACAGTTCCCAATTTTCATGTTGCTAATTGATTTTTCCTCAATAGCAGTGATTCACACATAGTAGAGCTGGAGCAGTTGCTCTAATCACATTAGTCTTTTGTGTGGATTGTTTTATATATCTGTGCTTTCCCAATTGTCTTGGAGATGTTTTGATTGCAAGAACTGTAGTTTGTTAATGCAGAGTGATTAATTTATTACTTTCGACATTCATAACCAGAGGAGTGCCATTTGCACTCACTGTGGATCCGAGTGCACAAGCACTCCTCTTTCCATTGATCCCTCCAATTTGTTTTTTATTTTAATTTAATTTATTTTTTTAATTAAACGAGTGCACTTAGCATTCTCCCTCTTGCCTATCAAATTAGAAACTCTTTCATCTCCCTTTCCTGACCGAATATTGTTTAAACCAAGCATTTCTTATTCTTTAATTATTACATTAATTGCTCTTTTAACAGATAAAATACTTTATATAATAGCTAATATTGGCAATTGGTGTGGGTCGGAGAAGGCTGAAATACCAGATATCACTTCATGCTCATTATTGCTGCAATGGTTATGCAACAGGGTCAAGAGGAAGGCAATGAACACCACTCTTAACACGCCTAGCTTGGACTGGTGCCATCTATCATATATGGATGGAGCGAAACAGAAGAATTCACACACAAATTTTCAGATCAGAATCACCCATTTTGGCAACCATTCAATCTGATATCAGAGAACAGAGATACAATTATGGGGTTTGCCAATATTGAGGTTTCTCCTACGCTAGTTAGGACTGCATTGAACTAGGGATTAAACATTCTTTGTAAAAATCAGGGAGGAATATCTAGCCTTCTGCTTCCTCTTCTAGTTTTGAAGAACCGTTTTGAAATCTAGCCAGACCCAACCGGTTTAACTGGTTGAAATTAAATTTAGTCAAAACTCGCTTAGACATAACCAAGATCCCCAAATTTGGTCAATTTGGTTGATCAAACCAATTCAACTCTTTTTTTTTTTTACATTTTTTTCATTTTTCTTTAATTTTTATATTTCTAT